CTAAAAATTAGGCAAAACACTTGAACAGGGACAACCCACAGAAGAAGACATCTGAATGGCCAATAAGATTATAAAAATATAGTCAACATCCTTGTTCCTAGAGAAATGCAAATGAATACTCTTAATGACCCCATAAGTCCACTCCAAGGCTTATAACAAAGACAAATGAGAACCTATGTCCAAAAAAAGACTTGTACCCATGTGTATTATTCACACTTTACTCATAAAGGATGAAAATTGTTTTTAGAAATCCAAATGTCCAAGAACAGAAGAATGAGTAAAGAAATGGTGGTATACTTCATACAATGGACTATGACTGCACAACAATAAAAAAGAACAAGCTACTACCATGTGCAACATGGGTGAATTCCAAAAACATTATATTGACTGGAAAAGGCCAGACACAAAGAGCACTTGCTGTGAGTCTGAGTTCAGGACAGACAAAACTCATCTATGGTGACAGGAGTGAGGACACTGGTTACCTCTGCAGGGGGCCTATTGGCTGCAAAGGTGTAAAGCAGCTTTCTGGGGTGGCAAGAATGTCTTGACCTGGGTGGTGTTTGCATAGATGTTTGTATGTGTAGAAATTACTCAGCTGTATACTTAAGATCTGTACCTATGACTTCGTGGAAATTAAGTCTCAGTTAAAAAAATAAAAGGTGAAACGACAAAAAATTGACTATCAGCAAGTGAAAAAAGCAAGGTGCAGAACACCACTCGCTGCGTGTGTAAGTCATAATGAAATGGATACTTGTATTTGCTTTTAAACTTAGCTTATGGGTAAGGATACATAAGAAACTAGCAGAACGGTTCCTGTGAAAGTAACAAATGGGGGTGAGGGAGGGAAAATGATGTATCTTTAAAAGTTATAAAAGCATATCAAAGTAATGTGCATTACTTGTTTAAAAAGCCAACAGATTACAGGAGAAGGTTACAGCCCCTTGTGACACACCCCTCCCACCGGACTATGTTTTTAATTGTATTTTTTAGAAATAAGAAGACATTATGAGAGACTTGGGAAAAGCTTATTTTAAACATCTAGGATCTGCACTTATGGAAATGTCTTCATACTTTTGCTGCAGTTGAATAGTAACTATTGCACCAGTTTAACAGTGGCCTAGTTCAAAATTCTAAAGGTACAAAAAAGTTTACAGAGAAGTCTCCCCAATCAGCTCTTGTATTTCACTCTACAGATATTGTTATACTGTTTCTATTTTAAATTCTTTTCACAGTCTCTATATAATGTGCTTATAACGTTGTTACTGCTTCACGTATCAGCTTTAGTCTTTATTGGTCTTCCTTCTCTGCCTGTGAAGATGGAGACAGGGTCCTTAGGTTCTTTTGAACTGTATGAAGTTTTAAAGTCATAGACAAGTGTTTGGTGGGTTTTTTTAAAATTAAAAATAAATTCTTTAAAGGGCTTTTATGGGAATATCAAACAAACCAAAAAACAAAACTTACTCCGAGAGATTGGAGAACTAGCTAATATTTGGGTTGAGCCAGAGATTTCATGTTAATTTAAAGAAATGAACATTCTGATACCTAGACATTACACTTTGGGCGGGGTCACCCCAACTCGCCAGTGGAGCAACTGCAGTCCTCGCCCTTTTAAAAGGACAGCGCCCTCCCATGGCCCCGCCCCTGAAGCCTAAAGAGGCGAATGAAGCCTGGAACCTACACCGCCCCTTAAAGGGGAAACCTATTTCTGTCCTCCAAAAAGGGAGCTTCTAGCAGCGCCTTGCCTTAAGGTACAACACGGCCCCTCTCGTTAAAAGGGAAAGGTCCCCGCTGGGTCCCACCTCACCTGCGCGGTCACTTTATACTCGGTGTAGCCTTTGGGGTGGGTCCGGGGGTCGGAGACTGTGTAGTGCCTCAAGAAGTCGTCTTTCGCCTGGCGAGACATGGCAACCCAGCTTGGGCGGAGCTGAGCCCCCGCCCCTCCAGGTCACCCGCTGCCAGCTTCCACCTCTCCCCGGCAAACGCCCTTCCTCTTCTAGGCTAGGGAGCTGGTTGCAAGTGACAGCGCAGTTCTCGGGTCCTGCGCGCGGGTAAGGGAGCGTCTAAAAAGATCTGGGTCGTTGGTAGAACGTAAAATTAGGTGATTTGAGGATAAGGACTGGGAAGGTTGGATCACTCATCTCAGCGTAAACCTTGATCACACATCTCCAAGCGACTTCTCTGCTTCCCAATTTCCTTTCATTCTTTCACCCAATTTTTATTGTGTCCAATATATACCAGACGTAGATAAATTATTTTCCTATCTCCTTCCATAGGATTCCCTAATCTCATGTTTTCTGGATGGGTGGGGGGAACAAAAAGAACACAGGAGAAGCATGTTGATGTCACGGGTTCTAAAGTCACACTTCTTACTAACTGTATGACTTTCCCATAACTAATCAAGCCTCATTTTCTTTTTCTTAAAGAGTCTTTATTTATTGTTAGAGACCGGAAGGGAGAGAGAGAGAGAGGGAAACATCAATGTGTGGTTGCCTCTCAGTCTCTCTCTCTCTCAGGCAACCCAGGCATGTACCTTAGATTGGGAAATTGAACCTGGGACCCTTTGGTTTGCAGGCTGGCACTCAATCCACTGAGCTGCACCAGCCATGGCTCAAGCCTCATTTTGTTATCCTTAAAATTGGTATATTTCTGTTTTCCCCCTTCTTGTTAGTAGTATTGCAGCACCAAGTCTTTGGAGGTAGTTCTCTAGTATGTGTAACCCTCCAAACTCCTACCCCAGAATCCAGAGGTACCAGCTCCTTTTCTTGCCCCAGGTCCCAGGTGGGGGTGGGTCACTCTCCCCTGAGGGCTTGAATATTGACTGAAGGACAGAGGGCACAGTGCAGGGTGAGGACCACCTTGTCCCTGGAGCACACTGTTGGCTGTGGGTCAGCTGCTCGGCCTCTGAAGCACTCTGTTTCCCAAGCCTGGACATCTCATCCCCCATAGGGATGCTGTGAGTCCAAGAAATGGCCTTCCAACAAATGACCTGCTGAAGGCAGTTGTAAGCTGCTTCTGCGGCAGGCTGTCAAGGACCCCGGCTATGGGTGACACCCTTGAGCAGGTGTGTGGGCACTATCTCCAGAGAAAAACACAAAGTAAAATTCCAAATCAGACTCTTGGAAACTCAGAAACGAGAGAGTTCATCTACTGTGTTTGGGCTGGTGGTCTCCTCACCCACACGACTTCCCCTTCCTGACCCAGCCCCTCCCAATTCTCCCCTTTCTGCTTTCTTTCTTCCTGTCCCCTCCGAACCCTTTCCTGTCTAGACCAGTTTAGCCTCTGGCCTTCTCCAGATGGCCAACCGCCCCAGTGCCGTGGAGGAGAAGTGAACAGAAGAGCCTCAGGAGGAGGCGGGGAGAGGGAAAAGCTGTCAGTGCAGGGCTGCAGGGCCTGCCCCCGCGCTCTCTGGCTTGTACTGCTTGACCATGTGATACAGACTTTCTGCTACAGCTCCAACTCCATCCATAGGCCTTTGTGATGAGTATAATAACCATGTTATTTTCTTGTCTCTCACCATGCATATTTCACATTTTAAACCAAGGATGCCGCTTACTAGGGGCCCCCAGGAGGACTTGAACACTGGGGTGACTCACCGGGGTCGGTGGGTGGCTGAGTTCACCTCGGCTGGGTCTGCTTGCACTCCTACTGGTTCATAAAATGACAATTAGAGCTAGCGCTGCACAGTGCTTAAGCCACCCACCCATTTACTCCTCATCCCAACCCTAGGAGGTAGGTGCCGTTATCTTTCTGCAGATAGGGAAACTGAGGCAAAGATAGGTTAGGCGACTTGCTCAGCATAACCCAGTGAAGTGGCAGAGCTGGGGTTTGGCTCTGGAACCTGGGTGTGCGCACTTAGCTCAAGACTTGGGAGTGCAGGGTCCACAGTGCCCTGTCCTGCACAGAGGACGGGGCCAGCGGTTCTCGTTTTCCACACTGAAGGACAGCTGATGTTCTGAGGCTATCTGCCCAACTCCCGCTTCCCTTCTTCCGCCCTGACAGAGGCCAGGCTTTGCATAGGTCTCTGCTCCTCCAGGAAGGGATCCTAGTGCTAGCTGAGAAGCGAATGGGTGTCTCTTCCTGGGCTTTCCCATGGGAAAACTACCCCTCCCTCATTAGACACATTAGATTCCCCCTCCCTGGAGTTCAAATTTTGAGCAGAGACAAACACTAAAAACAGTTCATAGCAGGTAGTTGCTAGGTGCATTAGGTCCAAATCTGAGCTCCTCCTCTTCCTCCTTCAGTGGCTTTGAGCAAGTCCTGTAACCCCCTGGAGGGGGCCCACGTAAGTAGGATACCGAGTCTATACTGCTTAGGGTTGTCCTTAAATGTGACAGTAAGTAGCAAGTGCTTCAAACAGAACCCAGCAGAGCAAGCAGCCACTGTTGGAACCACAGCAAAAGGCCCTATGAAAATATCCATTTGTCCTGCCCTTCTGGGTGTACCCTGGTTCCATCCTCTCCCAGACCGTCCCCCGTTTTGGAGAGTGCACTGTGGCCTTCAGGTAAGGCCCCTTCCTGGCTCTGCTCTTGGTTAGTTAGCCCTGCCTGAGTCCTCACCCCTCCCTATTTCCCAAAAGCCCTTGCCCTTCATTCTTGTCCTGAGATCCCCTCTGCAGGCTGTCCACTGCATGTGGGTTCCAGGCTGCGGCAGGAAGCTGGGAGCTGAAATTCAGCACGTGTTCCCTTCTAGAAGCTGTGAGCCTTGACGTGGGGGTGCATCTCCTTTCCAACTCACACTGCTGAGGGTAGCAGTCACTCTGGTGACCTGTCTTCCCTCTTCCTCTAGCCAGAAAACTTCTACTCATTCTTCACTCCTAGTTTTAATGTCACCTCCTCTGGGAAGCCTGCCCGGACTCTTCCAGATGGCATTAATTACAGCCCGGTCCTCTGCTTCTACACTCTCTGCACATCACACAGACACAGCAGTTGGTCATCCCTCTGACTGGACTGTGGGCCCTGAGCAGTCTCTAAAGCTGTTGAACCAATGAATGACTCGGCCAGGACCAGGGCAGGAGTGGTTTATTCTCACAGCTGAGCAAGGACGAGGCCCACAGCCTTGAGAGCAGCAGAGGCAGCCCCCTCCCAGCCCCCGCCCTCCCCTCTAGGTGTGGCAGCTGCAGGCAGGCCGGGTCAGGAGCCTGGGTGATGGCCGGGGCAGCAGTCCGTCTGCCACAGGAGCAGCAGTGGGCAGCAGCAGCAGGTTACGTAGGGGGATGAGGGGTGTTAGTTGGGCTGGCTGATTCCCATCCCCCCATGGGCGGTGGTTGTTGAGGGCCTGGCGGGGGCTGGGCGGGGGCCGACTGAGAGGTGGGGGGCATCTGGAGCGGCTCAGTCGGCTGTGAAGATGCGGCTGGAAATGTCATCCAGGAGCCAGTCGATGCCCGGCAGCAGGTTGTCCCCGGTGACGGCGCTGCAGCCCTGGATGCACCAGTGGTGGCTGCGGATGGAGTCCAGCTCCAGGGCCTGGAAGGGCAGATAGTGCTGGTGGGGCCTGGCGACCAGCCTGTGCACCCGCAGCTCCTGCCCTCTCCTGGCCCAGGGGAAGTCCATGCCTCCTCAAGGTCCTGCCCTGGGAAACTTCCCCTGGTCCCTGCTGATCTATCAGCCCTTCCAGGCACAGGCGTGGGCTGTCTGTGCGGCCATGCCAGCGCTACCCCTTAGGAAGAAAGTAGCAACACAGGCTTCAAGTATCTGTTAGGACCCAGGCGTTGTGCTGGGGGCCCTACAAGTGTCCTCTCATCTGCTCCCCACAAGGCCACCCCAGCCAGGGTCTGTGCTGGCCATTTTACTAAGGAAGAAAACAAAGCTCAGAGAGGTTAAGCCACTTGCCTGAGGTCACAGAGGTAGTAAATGGCAGAAGCAAGATTCTAACCATACTCTCTCATTCTGGTGCTGAAGCTCTAGAATAATGGTTAAGACTCTGGGGGTCAGACAGGCCTGTGTTTAAATCCTGGCTTGTCTACTTCCTGGCTGTGTGACCTTGGTGAGTGACCTAACCTCTCTAAGCCTGCTTCATCATAGGTAGAACGATAACAGTTCCTACTTCATGAGGTCGCTGTGGGAATTGAAAGAGTGGACCATGTAAAGAGCTGAGCACACAGAAAACACTCACGATTGGCTACTGTTACCCTGTGGAATGATCCATTTGTTGCCCCTCCCCCACTATTCTTACAGATCGCTGAGTCTCCACTGCCCCAACAGGTCCTGCCACACATCAGGGGCTTATAAATGCTCCTAAATTAACAAATAAACTCGTGCCCCTTGTCCTCCGTAAGCCCATGCCAAGCCCTGAACTCACCTCTCGAATGGCGTTAGAAGACAGTGCTCCAGGCAGGTCCTGCTTGTTAGCAAAGATGAGGAGGGTGGCTCCAGCCAGGCGCTGGGGGGAAGAAACAGAGGGGATGGGGGCTCAGAGCACAGCCTGGCTCCTCACTGAACCGCCCAGAGCATCTGGGGTCAGAGACCAAGCTGGGAAACCAGGGCAAGGCACCATGTGGTGGGCCAGGCCCAAGAGAGGAAGGCAATGTGGACGCTGCCTTTGAGGCCGGGCACGCACAGGGTGGAGGGAGTCCCGGGCTGGGCGAGGGCCCTGGCTCTAGTCCAATCACCACCCAGTGGGCACCTTTCCCCTCTAGGCCTGTTTCCTCTTTTAAAAAGGGGGAGAGGGTAATGGACAAAAGATCCCAGAGCCCACTGTGGTTCTAGATTGCCCCACCGAATGAAACTGAAGTGCACAGAGAATGCAGCTGCCCCAAGGCCCTGGGGTTTGCTGGAAACGGCCTCTCCCCCTCCCACGTCCACGGAGCCCTTCCACTGTCCCACTGCCCCAATTCCACTTATTTCCTTGTGTGTACGGAGCCCCGGGAGTCACGCCACGTGGATGGGTGGCTCTGGCCCAGGACTGGGCAGCTGACCTCACGGGCCCTGCTTGATACCCTTAGGAGGTAGCTACTGTAATACCAGTAACCGTATGTCTCTGTGTGCCCACACAGTCCCGGCTGTACCTGCTGTCCCTCATCATTATTAAGAACTCCCTCTTTCACTCTCAAAAGTGTGTTTCTTTTCATGTAAATGTAATGTGGTAACCCGGATCAAATCCTGGAACACAAACAGGACAGAGTCGAAAAACTCGTGAAATGCAAACAAAATCTGTGGTTTTAAGGGCAACTTCCCAGTGTGAACTTCTTAGTCTTGCCAAATGCACAGTGATTACATAAGATGTTAACAGTGGGGAAGCAGGGTGATGGGTACACGGGGTTTCTCTTCACTCTCCTTGTAACTTTTCTGTAAATCCAAAGTTTTATTTTTAAAGAAGTGTTTTGGCCCAACACTAAATTATAAGACCGCCAGAACTATAACACCCATCTTAGAGATGAGGAAGTGCAGGTTCAGAGAGGTTTAGTGCCTTGCCTGAGGTCACACAGCGGGGAGGCTGACTCCGGAGCCAGACTCCACTGCCTCCCGGAGCTTCACTCGCTGGCCTGTGGTCATCTTCCTCAAGCTCCACGGGAGGCGGGAAACTGAAGCTAAGGGTGGTGAAGCAGTGACATCACAGGGATGTGAACCCAGGTCTGCAGTGTGACCTGCATGTGGCGCCATGGGCCTCCCTGGACCAGCTCTGCAGGTTGTCTCTGCCTCCCCAAGGGTGCTGGGCACGTGGGGAGGGCTCAGGGAGTCTGCCGAGGAACCTGTCTACTTGTGCATATATGTGCACACAGCACTGGGGCTTGGATGCCGGTGGAAGCCGGGGTCCACCCCCTGCCCGCTCAGCCAGGCCCACCTCCTCCACCAACAGGCTCTGGAGCTCCCGCTGGCAGTCCTGCATGCGCTGGCGGTCGGCGCTGTCCACCACCCAGATGAGGCCATCGGTGCTCTCAAAGTAGTTCCGCCAGTAGGACCTCAGGGACTTCTGGCCGCCAACATCCCAGATGTTCAGCTTGAACCTAGGCAGGGAGCAGGTCGCTGGAGAATCAGCCTGGCCCCTTATCCACCCTCCCCTCCCTGCTTTGGGCTGGCCCACCCGCAGGGACCCTGCTCACCCCCGGTGCTCCAGGGTTTTGATGTTGAAGCCCAGCGTCGGGGAGATGGTATCGATGTCTTCCCCATTGAACTTCTTGAGGATAGTTGTTTTGCCAGCATTGTCCAGGCCACTGGGGCACACCAGGTTAAGGAGAACACCCATACTCTACAGGGTGCCCCTCTCTTAGGGGACGAACCATTTCCCACCACATACCAAAATCAGTTGACAAGTGATTGACTCACAATTGGCCCATGATAAATGTGAAAGGATCAAGAAACCAGTGTCTTATCTTCTCCAGACCAAAGGCTCCTTAATTCACTCCATATTTATTGAACACCTACTAAGTACCAGGCCCTCCTCTGGTACTGGTGGCACCCTGGGTCAAGTCTGCCCTCGTGCCTTACACTCCAGTGTGGAGAGTGCGAACAAATGAAAAACAAGGTGAATCAGATCCTGGTGAGTGTTAGAAACACAACGAAGAAAAAAAAAACACTCAACGAAGAGCTTTTCAGAGAGGGCCACTGCAGGAGCTTCCTTTAGCTCGGGAGTCAGGGAAGGCCTCTCTGAGGGTCTTGGGCTGAGGCCCAAACTACCAGGAGCGAGCTTTTTGGAGGATTGGTGAAAGAACACTCCAGGCAGAGGGAGCAGCAAGATCAAGTATCTGGAGGCAGCCATCCTCACTTGTTTCTGGAATATTCCAAATCTTTTGCTGCTGAGTGGGCAAATGTGAGTTCACCAGCAAGACCGAATCACCCTCCTCTTCCCTTCTAACACTTCACGGAGCTTGCAGCTGGGAAGGGAGCCCAGGCCCTGGACTCTGCAGCCTTCCTGCTCACCTGCTCTGAGCAAGTGACTCAAACCAGTGACATGGGGGTGACAAAGGACCTCTCCCAAGACCCAGCCTTAGCCCCTGATAATAGGCCACTGATTGTGCCCTCAACTCCGGGATCCATGCTTCCTTCCCCACTGGATCTTCCTCCTGGGCCCACAAGCTCTCTGGCTCCCTCCTACCTTAGAGGCAGACACCTCTCTTGACCCCTCTCCCCCTTATTCCATCACTTCCCTCCCTTAACAGCAGATCTCCTCCAGGCCATTTCCACTCTCACCTCCAGTTTCCGGTCTGCTCTTTCTTGAACCCATGAGGCTTTGGCTCCAGCTGCATCCCTGCAGCTGCTCTTGCCAAGGTCAGTCCCCGGAGAACCCACTGGAGTTCCTCCCCCAAGGAGTTTGCTGCAGTGGCTGTTTCCTTTGCTTAAAAAAATGTCCCCACATATCTACCCGGTTCATCCCTCACCTCCGTCTTCACTCAACTGCCACTTTCTCCATACGTCCTTCCCGACCACCTTGTTTAAACTATATTCTCCTTCGTACATACTACGTATTTTTTCATTTTCTCTGTTAACATCTTTCTCTTTCCTACGTTATAGAATGTCCATGAAGGTAGGGCTTGTTTTTCTTTTGCTGTTTTACCCCAGCCCCTAGGACAGTTCCTAGCACACAGTAGGCGCTCAGTAAATATTTATTAGATGAGTGAATTCTATGCGCCTATCTCAGGACTCTTTAATAAAAACAGACATGATGTGAATATTATTTTTCAGTTATTTGCGTATGTAAATGTTTTCTGTCCCTGCTAGGGGAGCTGCGGGTGAGGAGGGCCCCGCTCCTGGATCCAGAATTCCCCGCCACGGGACCGGGAACACTGTAGGGTGAGAATACAGACGCCAGTTAATGGGATTCGGAAGGTCGGCGGAGCCTACACGCGACCAGCCGCGGGAACATCGATGGGCGACGCGGCAGCAAAGAAACGGACGGCTAGGTCCACCCGCAAAAGGACCCGCGTGGAGTCTACACACTCTTCTGCCTTGAGCTGAAGGCCAGGCCTGCACGCCCCCGGGATTCCGACCTTAAGGGCGGGGCCAGAGTCAGGCAACCTCCGACAGCGGGGAGGAGGTGAGAGCCGAGGACAACGGGCCCACGCTACGGCCAGACCTAAGGGTGGTGGCGCCCGAGACACCTCCAGGCCCCAGCTTCCTGCTACATTGGGACACCTGGTCCGACTGCTGCACCTTTAGGCCCACAGCTTTGGCCTTGGGAACAGAGTTCCCCCGCCCCGAGCCGGTGGTTCGGCCTCCTCCCGGCCCCCTGCTAAAGTGATTGGTAGGGCCCAGTACGTGACGCACAAAGGCCAGTTTGGGCTGGCCCTCCGGCCGCGCACCCCGCACCCAGTAGGGGGCGCCTAGCACCGCCCGCCGCCCGGCCCCCGCTACCCTGGCAGCTCCGGCATCCGGGAGGATACAGCATGAGTAGTCGCAGCTCCCGTTCTTTCTGCTTCATCTTCTTCAGGATGGTCAGAAGGCCCATGGTCCCGAAGCCCCCTACCGGCTGCCGTTTCTTCTTAGTCCCGGGACCCTTTTCCTTGTTCCTATTGGCTATCACGCACACTGACAGCACAGCCTATTGGTCGGCCCCTCGCTTAGTCCCGCCCTCGCTGCCACGTGACCACGTGAGGTTGCTCGGTGGTGCAGCTGCGATGGTCCCTCTAGTGACTGTGGGGTCTTCTGCGGGGCCACCTGCTTTAATCCTTCTCTTCCTAAGGGCTTGAAGGACAAGGGCACCGCCATTTCTACCTACCCAAGACCCCAGGCTCGGCTGGGAACGGAAACTTGAAGTTCCTGGGTTTTGTCTTGGCTGCATGGAAAGTAAGAGTTCTGACTCGGGAGTCAGAACCGATGTCCCAAGAATGTTGAAGAGCTCATCCCGGGCCCAGTGTAAGGCCCCGATCCTCGGAAACGTGGTCCAGATCCTCCTCATCTTGGTCCTTGGTATCATCCTGAACCTGCCAGTTATAGTACCTACCCCTTCCCCTGGTGCCAGGAATCCTAGAGGGTGGGCGTGGGGTTCTCCACGGAATGCGAAAGTGCCCCCTAGGGGCCGTTTGGAAATGTGCGATGGCGTCATTGGGTTGTCCCAGTTACCAGGTAGGTCTCTTGTTAAGAGGGCAGTGGGCAGTCCCGCACAAGAATTATCCCGCTCAAGATGCCCATCATTTCTCTGTTAAGAAGCAAAAATGTTTGATTTGCTGATGAGAAAGTTGAGGCTCACATGGTGCTCAGGATAGTGATTGGCATATAGTAGATGCTTCATAAATATTTGTTGTTGAGTGAATGTCCAAGAGTTCAGTTCTTTACCTTAATGATCATGGCCAGAAAAAAAGTGATGAAACTGAGGCCGGGGGCTAGGCATATTGTAAACTCAGAAGGGTGTGTCTTACTGTCTTGTTTAAAACTTGCTTTTAGAGAGACAAGCATTGATTTGTTGTTCCACTGATTTATGCATTCATTGCTTGATTCTTGTATGTGCCTTGACCAGGATCAGCCCCCAACCTTGGGATATGAAGATGATTGAGCTACCTGGCCAGGGTCCTTATTGTCTTATGTTGAGCCCTCCCCCCAGCCCACTGCATGGTAAATGTGAGTGGGTGGCAGAGAAGACTCTGTCTCATGTTTGGGAAAGAAGTCAGGCACCAGCTGAAGATAGTGGCCAACTTTCCTGTTTTCTGCTTCATCTTCCTGGCAACCCTGTGAGGTTTATTTCCTTTTTGTAGATATGATGGTGGAGTGTAGAGAGTTCAAGGCGTTTGGACAACAATTTAAAGTGAGGTCTGGCTGTCAAGAATGTTGCGGGTCCCTAAGAAATCTAAGTGCCTTCAGTGGGGATCAGTTACCTGGTGTTACATGTGCATGGCCAATTCTGTGAATGAAGCCTTTGAGAAAGGTGAGGGGGAGCTATAACACGGATGCAGCCCATTAAGAACACTGAAATTCGGGCCTGCAAACCAGACAATCGCGGTTCGATTCCCAGTCAGGGCACATGCCAGGGTTGCAGGCTGGTTCCCTGCAGGCCAGATCCCAGCAGGGGACGCACGAAAGGCAACCATACATTGATGTTTCTCTCCCTCTCTCCTTCCCTTCCCCTCTAAATAAATAAAATCTTAAAAAAAAAAAAAGAACACTGAAATTAGTGTCACAAATAAAGGGACCCACGTGAAATCGCCCATATTTGACCATGTCGACTACAAAGCCATCAGGTTCAGACAGCTCACCCTTACAGCTAAATGAGAGTGAGGCAGAGCAGAAAGTGCTGCTACCTTCGTCCACAAATTAAAGGTCCGCAGTGTTTGTTTCAGATATTTACATGGATGTGTGTACTTCTCACGAAACTCACAGTCAAAAATTTCTGAAAATCACTACAATTCAATCGTTACCTCTGGAGTAGGTTTAAGGGGAACTTAAACGCATTACCTTAAGCACTTGTGGGTTGCTTTCCTTTACTATTGCCACTAGCATTGAAATCCTTCTTTAAATGTCAGGCTTCGAGCCCAGTCCTGCCCAAGCTGTTGTTACGGCTTCCCAGGGGCCACACAGTAGCATTACAGTGAATGGCGACTGCAGAAAGCGGGAAGCTCTGTGAAATAGCAGGAGACCAGGAAGTAACTGTGTTTCAGTTTTGAATAATATTTGCCTATAGCTAGAAACCCATGGTGGGAGGTGTAGGGACTTTTAGAGACAAGTGTAGGACGCTAGTGACAGGCAGTATTTTCACTTGCCTGGTGGAGAGGAGGAAAGGGTGCTCTTGAAATAAGATCTTTAGGGAATACCTTTGGGAGAAAACTGGGAAAGAAGATTTGCAGGGCTGTAGTTATTTATAACTGTGATTATATTCAGGAGAAAGAATCATGAAATTAAAACACCCAACTCCTGACAGCTGTGAAACCTGGTTTTGAAGGGAGAGTTTCTGAGTAGATTGCAACTTGAGGGTAGAGTTCTAGATACCTTTTATTTTATTATTATTATTATTTTTAATCCTCACCTGAGGATCTGTTTATTGATTTTAGAGAGAGATGAAGTGGGGGGGGAGAGAGATGTGAGAGAGAAACATTGATCGGTTGCCTCCTGCACTCGCCCTGACCAGGGATCGCACTTGCAGCCTAGGTAGGTGTCTGAGTGGGAATGGAACCCACAGCCTTTTTTGGTGTGTGGGATGATGCTGCAGCCAGCTGAGCCACCCAGCCAGGGCAAGTTCTAGGTGACCTTTTAAAGAGTTGTGTCTACCTAATGTTTGGGGAGGAAAATTTGGCACCGTTGTGTTATGTTTAAGAGATAAAGCCCTTTTCGATCCAACAGGACCCCCCAACAAAAAGTCAGGACAAGAAGACCCACTGGAGTTACAGTTGCCGATCATTAAGCGTTAGCAAGAAGTATGCCTAAGTGTTTTCTTTATTTCTCTCTATAAATATGTATTTTTAAGGTTGCTCTGGATGAGTTTTCTTTCATTCTTTCAAACTATAGTGTATATATGAGGTCTAAATTCAGGTTACAGTTTTGATAAGAGAAATCCTATTTTTTTCCCCCTGTGGTGAAACATACCTGTGATGCAAGTCTGATTTGTTTGGACCCTGTGTGCATGACGGAAGCACCAATTAGCCCACGGGGGCAGCATTCCCAAGGGAGGTTTTGTCCTACTTACTAGTAAACAAGGAACTGGAGGTCTGAACGTACAGCCTAATCACTGCTATGGCAACTGCCTGTAGACCTCAGTCCTGCCCCGCCCTGCTCCAGCCCACTGGGTGGGACCCACTCCTTAAGGGTGCTGTCCCCAGTCAGTGTGCACAGTGAGCAGGCCACCGAGGAACATCAGTGTCCAAACATCTTCCTTACAGGTCTCAGCCCAGCTGCCTGATGTGGGTGGCAGAGGAGGTGTCCTTTCCAACGTCCAGATGACAAAGTGAGCTGTTACTCACACCCCCACCATCCACCCAAGGGCTCATGACATCCTTAGGCCTTTCCAGAACCTGAGGAGTGGGGACGGACTTTGAGGACCAGGGCTCTTCCGGTACCCACGTGCACCTCCCCCGTGCTGTGGCGTCCTTGGGGCTTGGCCGAGGGACTGGCGGGGAGTAGTTACTGAGCCTTCTTCCCTCAGCAACCTGAGAGCTAGGTGCCCTGTTATCTCCACCGACACATGACACATGAGCCGGGAGCTCCACTCACCCAGGTGGCTGCAGCAGCCTCTCAACCAGGTTCCCTGTTCCGCCTCCCTGAGGCTCAGGGACTTTTGTGACTGCTGCGCAGATCTCGTCCCCACTCTGCTCTAAGCGCTGCCCGAGGGGTGCTCCCTGTGCACCCCTCTAACTCCCTTCAGAGTTAGAGCCTGAGATCTCCCCTGGCCGGCAAGGCCCTGAGTGAGTGGCCTCCTCGCTTCTCCAGCCGGATCAGCTGTTCCTCCCTGTCCCCTCCAACCGCCAGTGCATTCCCAGCGCCCCTAGGCCATACCTCCCTGTCACCTCTCCCTCTTCAGTGCTTTGCTCAAATTCCAGTGTCTCAAAAGTATGTTGTTCAAATATCTCAATGAGGCCCTGCCTGACCACCCTATTTAAATTTGAAATTGCTTAACCCCACCCCCACACATTCCCCAAATCCTTTGTTTTTGTATTTCACCATGACACCTAAGGCCTTCCACCCCCCCACCCCCCCCCCATCCCCACTAGAGGTGGCAAAGCAGGGATGAGAAACCAAGCCTCTCTGGGACTTGGACCACCTGGGAAAACCCGGAAGCTGTGGTCACCGTTGCCACATTCCGCAAAGCTTTGGGAGGCTCCTGGACTGCTTGGCACTTGTCTGTTCATTATTTATGCTCCCTACCCACTTCCAAAAGTGTGAGTCAGCTTCCTGGAAAGGTGTAGGTTAAAGGTGTGTGTTAAACCCTCAAGCTGCAGGCTGGGACCCACCAGTGGCCTGTTAGGAACAGGGCTGTGCAGCAGGAGGTGAGCTCTGCCTCCTGTCCTCCTCCGCCCCCAACCCCCTCGGTGGATAACTTGTCTTCCAGGAAACCCGTCCCTGGTGCCCTAAAGGTTGGGGACCGCTGTGCTATAGGAATAGCAGAGAATCAGAAGCACAGAGCTTTGGAGGAGGCAGAGGGCCCAGCAGGGCAGGGAGGCAGATATGCATGCAAACTCTCTCAAAGGACCAGGCAGTGATGACATCATAGAGCCCCGGTGGAGTCACCCAGTTCCAGAGAAGCCTGGCTATTTGTAGATTCTGCTTTTAAGGAGCACTCACATCATACTGTGCTGAAGTGAGTCAGTCCTTCTCTAATTCCCTGGAGAGTCCCCACAATGTCACTACGCCGAGTCCCTGCCCAGCCCTCAGTTCACCTAGCCTCGTCCTCTCAGCGAGTCTTTGCTTTCCCACCCACAGGTCCCAGTGAGGCAATGGAAGGGTGGAGTGCTGGCCTTGGTGTCCGAGACTCATGGGGCATTCACTGAGTTTGGGCCACCTGGGGGTGTACTCAGCCAAGAGATGTGCCTCTGAGCAGTGGCTTCCTCATAATCTGGATCTGAGCCAAAGTGGTGGTATCCGCACAGCATCTGTTACCTCTTCTCCTGCCCCAGCCCTCTGATGCCCTTTGGGAGTTGCCCATTCCTCACCCATAGTCCCCGTGGTGAATGCAGGGCCCTATTCCCCGGGCTCCAGGGAGGGCCTGGGGCCCAGCCTTGCCTTTCCCACCTTCATCTTCTGTCCACAGTGACTCATGTCAGGAATTAGCCACATGACTGCAGTCGGACCCAGGAGAGCCAGGCCTAGGACTTCAGTTCGAATGATTGAGAAAGTGGTAGAAGGTAGAAAGATGCACCCCCATCCTGGGGCAGCCAAGCTGGTGTTTCTGGTACCCATCTTACTCCCACCAGTGGTCCCCGCCTCAAGATGTAGCCAGCCCAGATCAGAGCAGGTAGGGTGACACACTGACCCCTTCTGACATTGTTTGGGCATCATGATCCAGCCATGCCTGAAGCTGGCATACTCTAGACTTGAGTCCCTGGAACACTTAGGGACTTAAACTTGACTTAGATCACTTATAAAACAAAGAATCTAGAGAAGCCTAATTTTCCATTTCTTACTGAGATTTCTTCATGAGCTTGAGACATTTCGAGCGATTTATATCACATATAAGTGCTACTTCTTACACATGGGTATAGTCATTAACATCTTTTTTCATTACAAAGGTATTTCATTAGAAAAAAATTCATGTTCTTGTACTTTGGTATGTTTTTTCTTTGAAATCAATAATGATAATAAAATACGAGCCTATTGTTTTTGTGAACAAAAAATTCATTGGGTATTTATCGAGTGCCTTTGTTAAAAAGTTTAACTGATGTTTGTGTGACTCACTGCACAACAGGCACTGTTCCAAGTCTTTTACCGACATTACTTCATCAGATCCTTATATTATTATCCCCATTTTATAGATGAGGCATAAAGAGGTTAGTTAAGTGACTTGCCCAAGATCAAGATGCAGGTCCAGGACAGAGCCCACCCACTTCTCTGGTCTTCCCAACAGGAAGTGGGCCATCTGTCCCACCAGTCCATATTTCCTGCGTGTGTGCCACACCCCTGGCTTGCAAACTCATCCCAGCTGAGGCTTATTTCCCTTGAGGCCCGTCCACAGTTGCAAGTGGGAATTCAAGAGCCAGCCTCAGCCCCCCACCCGCAGCCACCTGGCCTCTTTCTCTGCTATGCATTGTCTGAAGCTCCTTCAAGATGCCCCAAGACACCAGGCTGCCAACGCAGGGTGCACATGGTGGGGGCACCTAGAAAGAGGGTCTTCATCCCTGGGCAGCTGGAGACCCCTGGAGTCTCTCCAACTCCGGGAGGTGAGGGAAGGAATTGGGACAGGGCATTAGTGCATCCTAACTTCTCCCAAACCGGCCGTGTCTGTCCCCTTCCTGTGCCTCAGTTTCCTTGGTGGTAAAACGAAGAGGTTGATTAGGGAGTGTCCCAGGAACCCAGGGCAGGTCCTGTGGGAATGAGTAAGGCAGAAGTTTCTTTACTCAGCCAAGAAGCTTTTGGGATTCTCAGGGGGCAAGCTGCCTGCTGGACTTCTGCTCATGGATTCATTAACTGAGCACCTGTCACGTGAGGCTGTGTTTGAGGCACAGGGGACACGTCAGAGACACAGACAGGCAGTGCCCCTGTTGCCCAGGAGCTCACTCTGCAGCTCTGTTTTCGGAGGCCTTGACCCTTCATCCACCGGGACTGCAGGCTTTGGACCAGGCCTTTCCACACGCTTGGCTCAAGGAGGGAGGACCGAGGGCCCCGGGCGGGGAGGGATGTCTGCCCTCGAGCCCTGCCCTCTACCACCAGATGACCTTGCCTCTCAGGCATTAGTTTCCTCACCTCGTAGTGAGAGGTTGGACCGGATATCCCCAAAGCCTGCTCTGGCAGCCGGGGCCGGGGTCCACCTCGGTGGGGAAGCCTTGCACAGCCGTTTGTGGTTAAACATTACCGCTCCATGTCCATTTCTCCCTGCCACTCCTCAGGGATATCAAGCCATAAACACTGCCTTCTTTGGTTTTCCTCCAGGGCTGTGGCCTCCTGGGAGGGGCCACAGGTACGCCTGCTGACTGCTTCCCACCTGAGGGCTTTGGAGAGAGGGGTCAGGGATCCAGGGCTGGGGTGGGGACACTGGGGCCCTAGCCACCACCCCTTCCCAAGATGTTTTTTCTTGGTTACATCATGCACGTGCCTCCCCAGATCCTCCTGTGGACTGGTCTAATGAGCCCCTTAGGCGCTCGTCTCAGGTGCGATGCCCGGCCTCCCTGGTTTCCGGGAAACAAAAGTCATTCAGAGAAATCAGGGCAGTGTCGCGCACATGGTGCCCCGCTTCAGCTTCTGCTCTCAGGACCCTCACGAGCAAGAAGGGCCCAGCCTGGCTGTCATGCCAAACCCCACCCACCCAGGCATTTTCCATTATGGGCCCGCATTAACTCGGCACTGCCACACATCCCAGGAATGGGAGTGAATTCCCGCTGAAAAGTACTTTACAGTATGCAAAGGGCTTTCTTCTCATTTCCTTCTTTTCCATCACCAAAACAACTTTGTAAAAATAGGAGTGATTTCTTTGTGAGGCCCAGCATATATATGAGAACACCCAGGTGCAAGGCCATAGGCCTGGTGTCTGAGTCAAGTCTCCTAACTAACTCTAAAGCCAGACTGGTTTCATCAGATTCTAGGAACTGTTTACTCTAATGCTCTGCTCATGACAGATATCACTAAGCAATCCCAGCCTGACAGACATTGATAATCAATGGTGGTGCACTTTTTTTTTTCAAGAAAGATCACCCCCAGCTGTGCACTCCTCAGCACAGTATTCAGGACACCATCACCAGATCAGATCCATTTGCCATTCTTTTTTTTTTAAAGATTTTATTTATTTATGTCTGGAGAAGAGGAGAAAGGAGGGAGAAAGAGAGGGAGAGAAACATCAGTGTGTGGTTGCCTCTCACATGCCTCCCACCCGGGACCCGGCCCACAACCCAGGCATGTGCCCTGACTGGGAACCAAACTGTCAACCCGTCTCTTTCCAGTCTGGCGCTCAACCCACTCAACCACGTGTCAGCCAGGGCCCACTTGTCGTTCTTTTGATCCCACACCATCAGTCCCGAGCCCTCGGGGCGCAGGCACACCCCCTGGATGTTCTAATCACCAGACCACACGGATGCCCTGCAGTTCTGGGGCAGGAACTGCTGGCTCCTCCATCCCCTACACAGCGGGTGCCCCTTCCAAGCCTGGTCTCTCTGAGATGCAGCCCCCACGCAGGTGTGCCTGGGGTTCCAGGGTCTGCCGGGTCTTCAGCAGAACTTTTCGTAAGGAAATATTTCGGGTACACCCTAAAGTGCAGATAATATTACCACATGGAACTGTGTCTCCACCGGTTAAGCAGCCAAACAACTAAAGTGCCTGCGTCCTCCTCAGTCCCTCCCTCTGAACTGTGTATCCTTCTGTCGCGTATTTTATACGTTGATTACACACGGGCACGTCCATGTCGTTAACCCTTACAGACATGTCATTCAGGCATTGCGGTCGCTGTCATTCAGTGGGGCGTTTGGACTTGCAGGCAGGATGGTCGGTGCAGCTTCCATCTCCCTCCACAGCGTTCACTGTGACGTCTGCTCCACCCTTGCTCTGCACCAGCCATGGTTTCAGGTGCCTTAGCTGGCTTAACTCGTTTAACCTTTGTGACAAAGTTACTGTCCTGCCCACTTTACAGCTTTGGAAGCAGAGACACAGAGGGGAAATTACGTCTCAGAGCCACATAGCTCAGAAGCTGTGCCTCTGACTGCCAGACATCCCTCTCTCTGCTGCTGCATGGTCTGCTGAATGAAAACACAGTCATTCATTCATCTGTTCTCCTGTTTAAGGGCCGTTGATTATTTTTGCCTCAACACTGGTCTCAGAGGGCTTGGGATGGCTGTGTTATCTCGCATGGTTTCTGCATGAAGCCTGTGAGTGGGTAATTTTATCACCCCCCAATACCCTTTACAGTTGAGGAGACTAAGGCTCAGAGAGGCCGAATCACCTTCTCAAAGCTGCACAGCTACTGTGTGCTAGAGGTGGCCTGCGAACCTGGGCCCCTCCGATTCTAGAGCCTGGAGGCTGTCCCCCACCCACTATGTGCCTTCAGTCCCCCATTGTCTTCTCTTGACTCTGTCCCTGGCAGCCTGCCCTGCCTCTCCGAGAAGACCCTCCCCACACCGGGGCTTTCGTCTCCCCTCCTCTGGCCACCCTCCACTGATCTCCTCTTGGAGAAGGGGCCCAGCCGGAAAGCCAGTTCATATCAGGAAATTCCAGCCACGTGAGCCAACCCGAGCCAGGGATTCTGAGCAGCCGGTGGCTTTAGAAGAAACTGAAACTTGGTTTGCTGGGGGCGGAGTGGTCACTGGGGATTTAAGGAGTCACCACTTCCTTTGGTTCCCAGAGTGCACTCGGAGGTCACAGCAGCTGAGGGACACCCCAAACCAGGTGTGAGCCTTTGCCCCACTGCCCAAGCCATGCACCTCTGTGGGGGCGAAGGGCCGCTGACTGGGACGGTGAGTACAGCAAGCCCAGGAGAGGGGAGGGGGGCGTATGCCCCGGGCGTCCCCAGTGCCTGGGTCGGGAGAATGTGGTCAGAGCTCCTCCCCTAGTGCCAGCGCTGCAGAGGGCTGTGTGGCCGTGGGCTCCACTCTCCCCAGGGACTGGAATGAGGGCTCTCCAGCTCTCAGGCTCCAGATCCAGCCTCCGGTTTAGGACTTGGCCTCTGAACACTGCTCTCTCCTAACCCACCTGTTCTCCCCTCCCTGCCCTTAAGGTAGCCTCTCTTCCCTCCCCTTGGAGGCCCTGCCCCACTCCCAGACCCTGGACCCGGTGGCCAGCCCCTCCGCTCGCTATGGGTCCTCCCCCCCAAGCTCCAGTCCCTTGCCTCCCCTGGCCCCAGCCCCGGGAATGAGCCTGCTGTGGCCACGAACCCAGGAGCGCAGCATCCGCCAACAGGGAGGCCAGGCTCCCTCCCGAGCGCCCTGCTCTCGGAACACCTCTCCCAGAGGGACCTGTGGGAGGGGAGGTTGGGATGCAGGGCCTCCGACATTCCTTCTCTCTGACCTTCCAAAACGCTGGGCATTTGGTTAAATATTTCTCGTGTCATGGACACCATAATCGGTCATCTGGGGCAGGGAACAGTCACAGCTGTCAACCTCTGTGTCCTTCCTTCCATCAGGACAGACTTCATTCATTCATTCTAGGTTGCCGCCCCGATCCCCCACTAGAATGTGGGCACATGAGGGCAGGGATTTTTGTTCACTACTGTTCCCCCTAGCTCAGCGCCTGGCACACAGTAGGTGCTCAATGAATATTTGTTAAGTAGGTGAATATCATCTTTGGGCTTGTGTCGCTCATGGAGCCTACTCAGGTCCTGTCGTGCCCTCACGGTGGAGCTCACAGCTAGAGGAATCAGCCACCTTCGCTGTGGAAATAGTAGCGATAGCAGGCTGACCTTTATTAACCTTTGGCTCGGGGCTGCCCCTGGGCTGCCTGCTTTACGGCCTGTGAGGAGGACACTGTGTTCAGAGACATAAGTGACTTGCCCAGAGCAACCCAGCTGACAAAGGGTGTGGATGTGTAGTCAGGTTTGTCTGGGTTCAAATCCCAGCCCCCCGGCTTCCCCGTTTGTCCTCCCACAGCGTGAGATGCGCGCAGGACATTGACACTGAGGGAGGCTGGCATTCCAGCCAGGTAGGTGGACTCGGAGGGAACCAGAGGGGGCTTCTGGGAGAACGGGGGCCCTCGGGGACTTGACTCAGGCAGGGCGTAGCTTTCCAGAAGGCCAGGACTGAGGGCAGAAACCGCTGCCCGGACCTGAACCCTTGGCTTGTGCCCAGCAGGACCCCGAGGAGCACCAGAGGCAGCTGAAGAAGAAGCAGAAGAACCGGGCGTCTGCCCAGCGCAGCCGGCAGAAGCACACGGACAAGGCGGACGCCCTGCACCAGGTGGGGGACTCCACCCTCCCCGACCCCTGCCTGCGCTCACCTGGCCCATTGCCTCTTCTCTGCCTGCCTGTGAACAGACCCCACTGCACTGCTGGGTGTTCCAGTGCTGAATTTGGGAGGAGGGAAGGGCTCTGCCACTGAGATTTGGAAATTGCTAGGTGTTGAGTGAAACCGTGTTCCAGATACATGCTGGGCTGCAGAGGCAGGACACGTGTCCATGGCTGCTGCCCTGTAGGTGTCCCCAGTCCAGGGAGAGGAGACAAAAAGTGGAGGCGAACTGGGAGAACCCAGCGCAGCCACCAGCTGAGGCCCCCTTAAAAGGCAGATCCCTGCTCACTCCCCCACTCCCAGGCCCCCTCTGGAGGCAAGGACCTGCCCTGTGATTGACCATGTCGCCTGACGGAGTTGTGATGTAGGCGGCCAAGACCACACTATGAGAAACTCTGGTTCAGGCTTAAGATGGGTTGGCTTTGGAGTCCCAGCTGAGGTGCTCTGCTGCAAGTCACTTCCTTCGCTGAGCTGCTGTCCCCGTCCAAAAACAGGGACAAGGATGCCTGCCCACTGGCAGGACCCTTGTGGAGACTAAAGGAGGCAAAGGATCCCAGTGGGGCAGGAGAGGGCTGCACCTGCTCTGGCCTCTTGACCTTGGATAGTAATTTGAACTTGGATGGTCACCTACCTTTGGAGGTTCCCTTTTTCCTCCATGCAGAGAAGAAGGACACCATTAGTTCTGATTGGGGGTTATTGAGAGCTGGGCCCAGGACCTGGCCTACACTTTTGTCCTTCTAGTGATGAGTAAAACTCACAGCCCTCTGCACACAGAGGCCCTGCACCCTCTGCAGCACCAGCCCCCATCTGCCTGCCCTCTCTCCTAACAGCCCACACGCTGTTCTCCCGGGTCCTGTCTGGACAAGCACATCCAGCCTCAGGGCCTCCGCCCCTGCTGTTCCCTCCACCCTCAGACGCAGTCCGGCTAGAGCCTCGCTTCTTTCCAGTTATTTGGTTTAAGTGTCACCTCCTCAGCAGGGCCTTTCCGGGCTTTCTGATCTAAAGAGATCTCTCCTTGTTATTCCGGTTTATATTTCTTGTCAGCGCTGAGCCCCTTGGATGTGGTTCCTCGCTTGTCTCCCTCACCAGACCATAAGCACCACCGGGGCAGGGAGCTCCTCTGTTCCCTGTTGTGTCCCCATCACCTAGACCAGTGCCTGACAAATGAGGGGACTCAGCCACTCCCTGTGGAGCGGACACTCAGAACACAAGTGCCTTAGAAACACACAGCGGGCAACAACAGGCAGCAGCATCGAGGTGATGCAGGGATGAGGTCTGGGCTCCTATTCCGAAGGAGGAACAGGAGTTTTCCGAACGGGTGAGCGGAAGTTGGAAAAGGCACTGCAGGCCAATGAAGTTGCGTTGACACAGGGCGGGGATTGGGGGGGGCGAGAGAACAGCACCGAGTAGAATGGTGAGGGCGAGGACTGGCGCCGGGGCGGGGCTTCGTGCTTCCATTTATTCATTCCTTCCGGGAGACGCCTACCCAGCGTCTCCTGAGTGAAGGGGCACACTTCTAACCGTTGGAGATTCGGCTGTGAACACTGCTGTTGAAAGCCCAGCCTACCCTCCCCTGGGCTCATATTTTTATGAGGGAGCCGGGCAGTCAAACGAATAGTCCGAGAGGCGCCTGGGATGTCAGGTGGTGACAGAGCCCCAGGGAAGAATTAAAGCAGGGGAGAGGGAAGGGAGTGGAACGGGTGGGGTGATGGAAACCCCACAAAGGATGCCCCCCAGTAGGTGACGTCTGAGCAGCCTACAGGTGGCGAATGAATGAGTGCGTGAGTGAGCGAGTCAATTTCTGGACGTGATTTGAAGCCTTTGGAGAATTTAGGTGAAGGGTGATCTAATGCCATTTAGAAAATGTCATTCTGCGTGCAGAGACCAGCCCGAGGTGAGGCTGCTGGTGGCTCTGACCGTCTGTTAGGACTTTGAGTCCATGGCCTGAGCAACGTTTTTATGTAAAACACCTTCTCAGCTTCTTCTTTTGAAAAGTGTCCCCAAGAGGTGGGGGGCGGAGGGATGGAAAGAAAGTGGTTCAGCCTCTTGAGCCGTGGAAATAGCATTCTTTCTTCATTTTCCACCACTGTGGTCATCATAAGCGGTGTTTACAACTGCACATCGGTTTTTGTCCCTGTGGGTTCTGTCCCTGTGGGTCCAGCAGGACAGAGCCCGACACGTGCTGACTCAGGCATGCCACCAGACTCACTGTGCTGGCTCCCTGCAGAGCAGGGCCCAGGCTCCCCCCACACTGCCTGGGTGCTGGGGAGGTCCCGCAGGGCACCCAGCAGCCTGGAGGCGTCCAGGGAGGCAGGGCGTGTGGTTTGTGGTTGCCATGAGAAGTCTGTGCCAGGACGAGCCCAGGGAGGGGGATGCTGAAAGAGTGTCCCGGCAGAGGAGACAGGAAGTGTCCTGAGGAAGCAGAGTCCTGCTATGGAACAGGAAGTGGGGGGGGGCACAGGGGAAGTTGGGAGATAAAGTTGGAAGTGTCAGCTGGGGTCACCCCGCCAGGGAGTTGTGGGAACCTTTAAAATGTCTGGTTAATTTTAACCCCAGTTGCCCAGTGGTTCCTCTGGGCCAAGAAAACGGGGTAGGTTGGGGGACGTCCCAGTTAGGAGGCTGGTGGAGCTCCCAGCTGAGTGGTGGTCTGGCACAGGCTGGTAGAGACCCCTGGCTTCAGGGATTGAGGGTGGGGAACAGGCACATTTGAGCCTCCGTAGGAGGTAGAATGAGGGAGACTTAGTGTAGGGGTGGCCAGAGAGTAGCCAAGGGCCCCCAGCTTGGACATTTGCATGCTGGTGGTATCTTTTCTCTAAGTCGAGAACCCTGAGGGGTTGGTGAGGGGAGGTGTGAATAGAGCTCATGCCGAGCCTCTAGTGCTGGCTGACACCCCCTCCCTGCCCACCTGTTCCCCCCTCCAGCAGCACGAGTCACTGGAGAAACACAACCACACTCTGCGGAAGGAGATCCAGGGCCTGCAGTCTGAGCTGGCGTGGTGGAGGCGGACTTGGCACGTGCACGAGCGCCTGTGCCTCACCGACAGGGCCTCCTGCCTGGCTCCCCTGCCCCCTGGCTGCCGTGGCCAGGCCCAGCGGCCCCCGGAACCCATGCCTCATAGGCCACAGGACTGCCAGCAGCAACCTGGCCCCTTCCAGAGCCCAGCCTCCTCTCCCTCGGCTCAGCAAAAACTCTCTCCAGATCTGCCCTCAAGGTTCCAGCCTCATGGTTCCCCTGGCCTCCTCATGTCCCCTCTGCCCTCAATGTCCCTTGGCCTTACTGCGACTACTGCACCTCCTGCCCAGCTATCCCCCAGCCCTGTCCAATCTGCCTCACCCTCTGGCTCCAGCCTATTGGGACCTTCCTCCAAGCTCAAAGCCCTCCTGCCGAGCTCCTTAGCCCCGGCTGCCCCTCAACAGCCACTTGGGCTGGAGCACCTCACCAGGGAGGAGCTGGTATCCTCACCCCACGGTCACGGTCCCTCGACTGCTCTGGGGCTGGCCTGTCTGCAGGACATGGACAAGCCTGCTTTCTCAGCAGCAGATCAGCAAGGGCTGGGTGTGGATCTCAGTCTTCACCCTCTCCTGGCCTTCCCCCTGCTCTCCTCTGCTCAGGTCCACTTCTAACCCGGCCCCCTGGAGCTAGGCTGGCCCCTTCCTCAGGCTCAGGAGGCAGCCTTGGCACACAAGTGTCTTCTCCATCGCCCCTGGAGGCTGCCCTTCTCAGCTGACCAGCTGGCCCAGCACTTCAGGGAAAGGAGACCATCCCTGTGCGCCCACTGTTCTGCCTGGCCCTGTCACCACCACCATCTCATGTCAACTCCACGGTCATTCTGCAACTCCAGATTATCACTCCACTTTTTCAGAGAAGGAGACAGAGGCTCAGAGAAGCCAAGTGACTTGTCCAAGGTCACACAGCCTTTCTTGGGACCTAAAACGCCACCATCTGCTCCTCCTCCTCCTGATAGAATCCTGGCCCAGGTGACTTAGAGACTGAAGTCCTAAAAACTGTGGGCCGGTGCGAAGAGATTTCAGTGCCGGGAGAGGGAGGAGCTCCCCCTCCACTTTGTGACTCCCAGGACGGCAGAGGCCTGCAGTCCCTGAAACTTTGCCCTAACTGCAGGGGGTCCAGGGTCCACGTCTGGGTGGGGATAGGCTGGGCAGGAGCCTGGAAGCCGGCGCTTTCTTCCTGTAGCAGTGTTTTCCTTTTCAGAAACTGAGCCTGTAGGTGGGAGTTGGGGAGACGCCCAGCAGAGTCTCCCCTGGGGTGTCTGCAGGTGAGCTGCCAATAGCCACACCGACACCTGGGAGACTCTGTAAGGTCTGCTCTCCGTGCGATTCCCAAATAACTCCCTGCCTCCCCCTCCCTTCAAGGCCACTAGGAACGTGAGAGACAACGTGCTGGAGGGAAGAATGAGGGTAGGCTCAGGTGCAAGGTTATGTTTAAGCAAGTGCTGGACCCAAACCTGGCGGTCGTGAGAGCTGGGTCTTCTTCAGTACTGCCCTGTCCCTGTGCAGCCCCCAGGTCCCTCTGACCATTGTTCTTTGGTCGGGGCCCAGGCTGGGGCTCAGCTTCAGCGTCTGCCCCAAGGGGCGTTCTCACTCGGAGTGAGGACAAGCACTGCGAGGGGCTTGAGATGAGAAGACCTGCTTCTCACCCAGAGGTTCATCCGCCCTGTAAGCAGGCACCGTGCTGGTGTTGGACACACTCCAGGATGCTGAGCAAAGTCTCGGAGCTCTGTTATGGTAAATAAAGTGTTTTCCGATTCCCTTGGCTTTGGCTAGTTGTTTGAAGCTGTGCTTGTATTGTGTACTGTCGAAAACAAAGGATCTTTGAAAGAACAGGGAGTAGTCTGGAATCTCAGAGGTGGGCGATTGCTCACGGACCCCCTAATCTAACCCCCCTCCCATATCCTAGATGAGGAAACTGAGGCCCAGAGATGGGGGAGACTTGCCCAGGGCCACCCAGCAAGAGTAGGTGTGATGGTCACAGGATTGTGGGTGGCAACGGGGCTGGGGTCACCAGAAGGTTCAGGGACAGCAGACTGGCAGGAGTGAAGCCAAGATGTGTACAGGAGGGCAGCCGGAATCTGGGGACAAGAGTTGATATGACTCGCAGGGACCAGGACCCGACGGGCGGTGAGAATGCCGTGGCCGGGCTCGCGTCTCGACGCCTTAAAAGCTGTCAGGCACTGCCATGTGCTTCACGTGAGTGAACTCAGTGACCCCTCTAATAACTCTGTGAGGTAGGTGTGGTCGTTACCCCTACTGTGCAGAAGGGGAAACTGAGGCCCGGGAAGGTTAAGTAACAAGTTCAAGGTCACATAGCTAGGAATTGGTGTAGACTGGATGCAGCATCAGGAACACTTGGCCACAGGCGGTGCAGCCCCCTGCCTTCCCATCCTGTCCTTGCAGCCACAGGCTGAGAGACATGACCCAAGAAGGTAAAAGCCCTCCCTAAGTTCAAAACAAGTAAGAGAGGGGAGTGACTAAACTAATGTTGAAACCCTCTTATGACGATGACCAAAGAAGAGGCACTAAGAACAAAGAATGCTTTGAAGACTATTTAACGAGGTGAGAAATACTTGTATTAAGCAAAAAAAATAGAATGCACAACTGTCGCTATAGCTTGATATTCTGCTTGTTTAAAAATACAAACTGCATGGAAATAGCGGGAGGAGGTACTGTCGATTTTGCGGGATTCCCGTGAACCCCTGGTCTGTACACGCGGCCATCACTATCACGGGAGCCTTCCACGTGGCCGCACAGATCCCGGGCATCTGCATGCACGTCTGCGAGGTCTACGGCCACCTCGCCAATTGCTCCGAAACTCGGGGGCTTAAGCAACAAACGCTTCTCCTCTCACAGTGTCTGTGGGGCCGGACCCTGGGCGCCGCTCAGCCGGGAGCCTCTGGCTCAGGATCTCACGCAGGCTCCAGCCAAAATACTGGCCTGGAGTGCAGCCACTGGAAGGCTCGCTGGGGGGATCCACCTCCAAGCTCAGGCCCATGGCTGTCTGCAGGCCTCAGAAGGTCCATTGCCAAGCTTATTTACAAGGTTGTTGGCAGGATTCTGTTCCTTGAGGGCTGTTGGACCGAGGACCTCAGGTTCTTGTAGGCTGTCGGCTGGCAAGCTTACCGCCTTCCTGCGTGGGCTTCTCCATTCGGGGCAGCTCCACATAGCTGCTCGCTTCCCTTGGAGCAAGCAAGCCGGAGAGCAAGAAAAGGTGAGCAGTGCAGAAGCCAGTCTTTCTGCAGCCTAGTTTCAGAAGTGACGTCTGTCACAGTGACCATATTCTATTAGTGGAGGTAAGCAGCCAGCTCCAGCTCACACTCTAGGAGAGAGGATCACACAAGGGCACAGAAGCCGGGAGGGGACCCAGGGGACGTCCACCTCAGAGGGCTGCCAACCGTCCTGGGCGAGACCCAGCACTTGCCCGGGTCCCTTCTTTTTTCTTTCATCACCAACACTAGCAGTTGGCTTGTTTTGGAGGGGGCTATTTTTTAAATCTTCATCCAAGGATATGTTGATTAATTTGAGACAGAGAGAAAGAGAAACATCCATGTGAGAGAGGAACATCAATTGGTTGCCTCCCATGTGCGCCCTGACCAAAGGTCAAACTCACAGTCTAGGTACTTGCCCTGACTGGGAATTGAACCTGTAACCTCTTGGTTACTGGACAATGCTCCAACCTACTGAGCCACCTGGCCAGGGCTGAGGGTGCACTTTTCAGAAAGAAACGATTTTGTCCCCTCTCCAGCAGAGGCAATGCCCCCAACAGTGAACAGAGAGCATGTGGTAGGTGTAGGGCTGAACAACGCCCCCGGAACTGCCCTCCTGGAAATACACTGCCCCTCCTGGAAGCCCCCTAGAAAAGCCTCAGATTGGGCTTGCAGCAAGCACAATGCAGATGCCCCCTCCCCAGAAAGACCTTTGAAGTCACGCATGGACTGTCAGTGCTGAAACAGCCAGTATGTGCAGGCCGGAAGTCTTCCATGCTTTGAAAAGTACCACTCACTGGAGGACTAGTTTAAACTCAGTTGAAACTTTTAGCTGTCCCCCTCCTTGCCCCCCCACCAGTATTCACCTGTGTAGTGGGGTGAACGGTGGCTCCCTGAAAGGTATGTCTGCCCAGAACCTGTGAGTGTGACCTTATTTGAAAAAAGCATCTTTGCAAATGTAATTAAGTTAAAGATCTAAAGCTGAGGTCATCCTGGACTCTCTGGGAGAGCCCTAAATCCAATGACCAGTAAAAGGAGGTTCCAATAATAGGAAGAGAAGACAGAGGCAGGGACCGGAGTCAGGCAGTCCCATGGGAAGCAGCATCTGCATCCAGCAGAAGCTGGAAGCAGCAAAGAAGGCTTTGCCCTCTGGCCTCAGTGGGGGCGCTGCTGCTGTCATCCAGGTGAGGGATGGTGGTGGCCATGCCCAGGGTGGCAGCGCGGCAGTGGGGAGAACAGGTCAGATTCAGCAGATCAAGCTGACGGGATGTGCTCGTGGATTGGATGGGGGGCGGACAGGGGGCGGAAGCGTGATGCCTTGGCTTTCGGCCTGAGCCATGGGCAGTTGCTAGGGCCAAGGACCAAGATTAGGAGAGGAGCTGTTTGGAGTGTGTATGTTGGGAGTTGGGGGGTGGGAGGTGCAGGAGGATCAGGGACGCTGTTTTGGCCAAGCTAAATTTGAGATGCATATTTGTCGTCCAACTGGATGGCAAAGAGTTTGGAGATCAGGGGAATGGTAGAGACGGCATGTGAATTTGGAAGCTGGCAGTGTAAATACGGGAGGATGGACTGTGGTGCCGCGGTCCAGCCTTGGCAGGGTTCAGGGTCCCTGAAGGGCGGACGGCACAGGCGAATGAAGAGTCAGACACCGGACTGGATGCCGGAGAACAGCCAGCCTCTGTGGGACTGACCGAACTCATACAGTTCGATTTAGGCTTTATTTTTATAGAGATTGTTGCATAACATTAAAGGAACAGGTGCATGGTGTGATCAGTTAAGCAGAAAAATCCAATACAGAGGTAACTAGGAAAAGTACAGGAAATTCCAAAGTTTCAGTTATGTTAAACAAAAGTTTTTTTGACCAGGAGAACCATTAATCAGACAATTTGAAATAGCTGTATGTACAAAGTTTGAATGTCTTATTGTTTATTAAAGGTCTTAGAATTTGACATGGGGCAAAAGGTACGCTAGACCGAGAAGAGGTTAGGAAATTCATTATAAGCCTTTGTGATGTCTAACTTAGCTATCTATCTTTCTTTCCCAAATGTTTCTCTATGTACTATGATCTCTAACTCCTTGGTAATTGTATCTACCTGCTTAGTTTGTAGTAGCTAACAAGCTTCTCCTGTTTCTTTGCCTGCTAAATTCTAATTAATGTATATTCCTGTTCAAGGTAAAGGAGGGGCTGCTACTCCAACAACTTTTAGACATTCAGGGGCTATTTCATTAGAGGGAACTTTGTTCTCTGGTCAAGAAATTGTTTTGTACAACTTCATTGGAATTATGCGAATCAATGAACCTGAAATACAGGTGTCTAACAATCCCACCACCTTTTGATCACCAAAACAAACATGTAAAAACAGATAGACAGGAAATCCAGCCACAGTTGCCTCTGCCTTGCAGATGCATCTCATCCATCCCGACCGTGTCAAGGGACGGTTGCTGGCCGGCTCCCGACACCGTGGGAATGGGGTGACACGACCTATGAGGGCCTCTTCTTGTGCGCCTAGAGCTCTCTCAGCCTGGCTTTCTGTCCAGCATCACTCCTGTGTGCCCAGAATCTGGTCCCCTCCTTCCTCTTCAAATGCTTCTTCCTCCAGGAAGCCTCCTGTGATCTTCCAAGATAAAAATGACCCCCTTTTCCTCAGGCTCCTCATCACACCCCGTGCCTTTCTCCAACATCTCATGTTTTCCTTTTTGTGTGACTGAGCCCTCCTACCTTACCTGCCACAGGGGCAGCCGCCAGTCTGGCACATCCCGGGCACTTTTAAACAGCCTGCACATCGGGAGGCAGTGAGGCATGGTGGGGACAGTTTGAGCTCCGGTGCCAGGCGGGACGGGTTCACGTCCCAGCTCTCCTACCGCCTGGCTGAACTCTCGAGCCTCAGTTTCCTCATCTGAAAAATGAGAATTGAAAAATATACCCACCCACAATCCACCCTACGTATATGTGTTTACGTATCCACAAATACGTGTATATATGATATATATCATAGAAGTACATATGTTCACTATATGATATAAAAAGAATGTTTCTTTTAAAAAATTTATTTATTTAATTGTTGTTCAAGTACAGTTTTCTGTTTTTTACTCCCACTCCAGCCCACCCCCCCAGTGCTCCCCACTTCCCTCCCATTTCCATCCCCCTTAGTTTTTGTCCATGTGTCCTTTATACTAGTTCCTGTAAATTCTTCCCCTTTTCCCCTGAAATTCCCTTCCCTCTCCCTTCTGGTTCCTGTCAGCCTGTTCTCTATTTCAGTGTCTTTGGTTATATTTTGCTTGCTTGTTTCTTTTGTTGTTTAGGTTCCTGTTAGAAAAGAATGTTTCTGTCAGCAATAGTCCTATTTCAGGAAATAGGGCTGAAAACAGCCCACTTGCCCTTTCAATTGTAAAATGAATCAGCTGTGGAGCACCTGACACGAGGTAACACTATGTGGCAAAGAGGATGATTACACTACAACCGTTTGGGACAATACGAATGAACTTCACAAGCACAATGTCAGGCTATAGAAACCAGACACAAAAGAGGAGACAATGTGTATGATC